AGTGCTAATTATAAAATACATAAATAAAGGTTGGGCAAATATCACCAGAAAACAGTTCGTGGAATATTTGCTTGCATTTAAATTAGATTAGACTGAGTTTTCTTCTATGAATAGTTGTGAAAAGAACACATTTTAAGCTTACCATATGCTCCAGTACCATACTTGCATACAGCAAAAAGTTAAGATGCCACAGTTCATCATTCATACCCACTATGGTAAATTTTACATGACGGATGCAGTTTGAAATAGTTTCCCAGTGACTTAGCAATTAGAAAGTTAAAAAAAATTAAGACAAAACTTTCATCACACCCTTCAAAATTGAGGGTAGTTAAAATTGCCTAGATAGTCTCATTTATTTGTACTGTGGCAGTTAGATGCCTCAGTTACGGGCCAGGAAAGCAGTATGCTAAGCACTGCATAAACAGTGCCAAGGAGACAGTCCACTGACCCAAAAGCTTACAAACTGTTTATCTGCTGCTTCCCAAACTCCTACAAGCCCCAGATGTATTGCTTGCCCCTGATCCCGAGTACAAGGCATATCCACGTACAAAACACTGTGCATTTTATGTGACCAAATGCAACTCACAAACAGTGCAAACTGCAACTGTCAAAGAGCACATCTGGGTTTTAAAATAGCACTTGCCAAAAAACTGGCCAAATAAATACAATGAGCAAATTCGAGAAAATCTTAGTTTGTTTGCAGATGCTTGAGAGTTCCTGGCTGCTAGTCCCGCATGCTGTCCACTGCTCTGTCCCACTTGCTCTCGTGACAAATGTAAATAAATGGCTTTATATAACACTGCGCCTAACAATTGACAGGGCTCGTTCCCTAAACAGCCTCAATGCTTTGTGGTGATATATAAAATGCACTGTAGCACCATATTGTCTTTAACTCTTTTGCTGTTGCCTTATGTTGCAGCATTCTTCCGAATGCTCTGTTGGCATCATGAAAGGACAGAGCTCATTCAGGATCAAAACAGATGTCAATCGCTGATTTTTGCATCTAGTACTCAAGACCTGATTCAACAGTTAGAATCCCGGCCATGGAAAAACACAATGCAGTTCAATTAAATTAATTGATATTGTTTAAAGTAGCGCGACCCCTTTGCTAAATCCACCTCTTTCAGAACACTTCGTTTTACTCGTACAGCCTATGTGAAACAATGACGCTGATGAGTGGATTAAAGAGGGCTTTGGTTTTTTTATTATTTTTCCTGTTTTGCTCTGCTTCGCGTGAGCACAGCAGACACAGGCCTCCTTTCGCACTCATCCTAACACACAAGTCCTGCTCCAACTTCTCCACTAAGGCTGGAAGAAGGAGAAAAGATCCCACTTTTCAAATAGTTGCAAACACTCTTGTATAAGCCACCCTTCTTTAAAAAGAGAAGTTTCTTTGAAAATTATAAAAGCTTGGAATGCAATAACACACACCAATACTATCAAATAGGTAATTTCAGGATTAAAAAAAAAAGAGAGAGAGAGAAATAAAAGGATTTGTCCTCCTTTCAAATATATGGTAAGGATTCACTTGTCCTCGTTCCTTTTTAACTTGCTCTCTGATTATAATTCATTGTTCAATTTAAAAAAATACTTTTCAACCTGCCCCATATGATCGCCGTATTAGAATTTCTCAGCATACCAGTTGTGTATCCCTTGAAATGCATCATTGATGCATTATATCAACAAGGACTCACGCTTTCATTTATCTTCAAATATTTCACAATCCACTGCAGTATATTCTCAGTTGCAATTTTCACTTTCAAGTTTGGCCACCATGTGTGGAGCATTAATTTCTCTGTTCACTTGTAATTCATTCAGGGACTTACACCAGCTGAGAGCCACATATGGAGGCCCAGATTTACAGAGCTTTTATTTTGTGCCATGGAAGCCTACAAGAAACAATTTTCTATTTGAATATTGAGTGTTTACAGTGGTCTTGTCGTTCACTAGAGACAGCAGATTATGAAATCATATTCTACAAGAATCTTATCCAAAAAAATGACTGTAGCATTTAATAACCCTGCTTGGTTTAAGTGTTTTTAACGGCTTTTGCTGTTGAATAAAGAAGAATAAAAGATATGGCATTTGCTATTAAACAACACGTCTCCTTTATTATTATAGGTCCAGTTTCAGCCAGTGTCGGTCTCTGTATCACTCTCTTTGCCATCATCATAACTAGGTTATATTAAAAAATGAACTGGTGAAAAAATGGGTGAAGTAACTTACAGGCAGAAGGGGCTGGATGTCACACTAGTTTAGATAACTACCATACCATCTACACACCAAAATGAAGGTGCTGTACCATGGACGGACACATGCATGCACAGGTAACAAGGATAATAAAGAGGGCAACACTAATCTAAGTACATCCCCAGGTCCCCAGTGATGTTGTATAATCTTCCACTACATTTTCACTCCTGTTATTACCCCAGCTAACCTAGTTAAAGTTAGCACAGGTATGTGGGAAAATATTGCAAGCACTCTTTCGTTTCGCTGTGCAGACAGACTTTAAACTCCTCTTTAAGGCAGCCTTCTGTCTTTAGCTTCCTTCACTCCTTTTTCCTGTCTGATGCTGATCCCAGTGGCCAAGTCTTGCTTCTCAAAACAGGAATCCTGATTTTCCCTATTCCCCCTACCCTTTCCAAAATAGTCACCCTTTCTGATTTCTGTGATGAACAAGCATTTGCAATGCAATTCAGAAACCAATCAAAGCCCAGGCAATAACTGGCAGTTTGACAAACGTATGGATCTTAACAACTTCATCCTTAGAGATTTTATGAATAGCCTTATACATCAATCATTTCTGCATATATGAAATCTGCCACTCAGGTTGTATGATTAATCATTAAATCACATGGTATTAAAACTGGTTAGAAAATACTGGTTAGAAAATCAGGTTAGAAATTTTCCAATCAATCAATCAATTGTTGGTCAGAAAATGACAGTTCATCAAAAGCAGCTCACTCAATGGAAACAGTTAATCTCAACATTGTTTTTTTCTGCCAGCTCACCCTCCTGGCCTTTCCAAGAACCAAGACTTTCTAGGACTGATACCATCAGGGTCCAAAACATCCCAAAAGTTTCCATTGTGATAGCCGGCGAGAGTCAGGGAAAAAGGCCCAAAACTCTTTTCGCTTTGACTTGCAAAAATATCTTCGCTTGCTAGAACGTTTTCTACAAAGACCTGGTTAGGAGCAAAGTCTTTTCCATTTGCAAATGGGAGCCAAGGCAAGAAATCCAGTGAAACAGAATGCAAGAGCCTACGCTGAACGGTGACTGGGATTAACACGGTATACCTTCACAACAGTGGTCAAGTGGATCTTGCATGAGCAAAAGTGGTCAAGACCCAGTAATTCTTCTGCATCTAAGAAAAGACTTGTGTAACAGTATGGATCTTCATAACACTACACTGTGGCAGTCATTCACTGGATGGCACCTACTGAATCACTGCAAGCCTTGTAGCTCATAGTTTTTCATGATTCAAAAGGGGATTAGGTGTTTATTTAGATCAGGCTAGCTACTGCTAACAACAATTATGGGACAGCAGTTAAACTTCATGTTTCAGGATTTAAGATGATCTCTAACAGTTAGAGACCAGGATGAGACCAAACGTGGACACGGGGGATGGGGGAAGAAAGAGTGGAATATGCTGCGGATTATCTACTGCCCATGGGCTTCTTACACCTTCAGCTGCAATACTTGGAGCTGGCCCCTGTTAGAAGCACAAGGCTGGACTAGATGGATTTCAGATATGATCAAGCTGGGCCACTACTTTATTCTTTTTTCTAGTTTCCAACCTCCCAATTTATTCCTACTGAAAATGAGTGTGCGACTCATTCTAATGCCTTCTTGGTTACAGCCAGAAAGTAAAAATCAGCCTTCATTAGTGCTCATCTAACTGGCTACAGGCATTCTAGTTTAATATCAAAACACCAGCAACTTAATTCTTTTTTTGCCCAAGAATAGTTCTATAAATGCTGACGTCATAACAAGTCACAGAAAACAGATTACAACAGTCATTTGATTACTGAAATGTAATCAATGACAAGTCCCATAAAGTGTTCAGCCTCTGGATTTTACCCCAAAACTGATGCTAAAATGATATTTCAGCTGATAGACTAGGAGGTTGGGCCAGCTACTCAACTAGCAGCAAGGCAGCCTCCAGGTTTGCGCGTGCCCACAGATGTGAGTATAAACTCATCTTCATTACGTAAGCGGACAATTAGAGAGAGGCAGACACAGAGCGTGTCCAGGAGCTGTGCTGCATGAATCTGCAGGGCTGCTCCAAGGGGCCTACTTTGCCTCATTTTTGTAGGTTGGCAAACCCAGAAGGAGCAGGACGTGCTTCACAGCACAGCCCCCAGCCAGAGCACAGATGTCACATAAGCATGACCAGAGACCACGAATGGTATCAAAGGAGAAAATTACATCTATGCACTCATTTACATCGACTGTAAGATAGCAGGGGCAGTCGCTGTATTTCATCCTATGTTCCTACAGGGCTAAAATAATGGTTCTCAATCAGTTTTCCTAGGAACTACTGCAACACAGCAAGAAAAACAACAACGTATCCAGTTAAGTTAACTGTCATGCCCTTTCGATTTTTCCTTGCTAATAAAACCATTTACTTCCCCTGATCCAAGTAATAACTTTCTGCCAATTAAAGAAAAAAAGAAACCCAAATTTAGTAAATACTGTTGCACAAAGGGACCTGAACCACAATCTGAGCACTGAACATCTGCAATAATTAGAGAATCTGGGTCCTGATCTGAGCTTCACAGGTGATACCTATTCCACGGTGGAACAGACAAAAATTAGGGTCAGAATCGAAAGGCTCAAGCCCATTTCTAGTTATTAATAAGGGTGGGGCAAAATTTAAGCTGAAGTGCTTTTGAGTTAGCTCCTTCTAACTGCAAAATAATCTTAGAGTAAGCAATCAGGGATCAGCTCCAAGAAGGATGGAATCAGAGGTTTACGTTGGGTAATAAGATCATGCTTACTGTTACGTTCTTGAGTCGAAGATCTCGGATTTCATCATTAACCAGATTGATGATAACATAGAATGGCACCGCCATGGACTTGTGCAGGCCATCACTAACCGCAATCATGAAGTGATGAGCAGTGGGTTCCAGCTGCTCGTGCTTAGACTGAACATAGTTGATATAACCAGCCCGGAGACTCCGAAGACTGAATGAGCCTTGGTTGAGAGTAAGAACTAGGATTAGAAATATGGAATATTTAAAGTGATTCTAAAAGTCTAAAAGTTTCTTGAAGTCAAGCACTATTAGAGATATGGCCATCGCTTGAGAATGCAGGGAAGTTTGGAACCAAACTGCAATGCAGGCTCATATCTGACCATTATGAATGAGACCAAAAAACAACGCAATGAGGTCTATTGGCACGTGGATTAATTTCCCATGGGAGTACGGGAAGCCCTTTTGCTAGAATCATTTAAAATTAAATTGGACAAAGCATTCACAATAGTGCTATGCAGACCAATTGTGCAGCGAATGACAGACAAGATGACCCAATTGCTTTCTGATGTGATGTAATGATGTTTAAATATATAAATGATCAGTGAACCAGAGGCAACTTGTTTCTGTGAGATAATATTTCTCTCCTACCTATGGCCAGAATTATACAAACAGCTATGAAGTCTCAATTATCTTCTATTATATTATACTCAGATAAAGCCAATTGTTTTCAGGAATATATTACATTTATATTATCACACTCACTTACATTGAGTCCAGCATTGCTCTTCTCATAACCAGGTGAGGGAAAGATGTTCTCTAGGTAACCATACCGAGGGTTTGTCTCCAACGTGAAGTTTAGTTCCTCAGGGAGTGTGTCCTCATCAGAAGCATTCAGATAGTTCAAGCTGATACATGCTGAAGATCCCTCATCCACTACAAACAAGTTCCCTGAGAAAAGCCAGGTTAGCATTATTCTAACCATCCATGAGCCTCGGGCTGGGCATCCATTCCACCCATTTCCAGCCCAGTGGAACAAGAGAGGAGGTAGAGAACATGCAACACTTGATAGTCTCAAGCTAAGCATTAGCAGATGCAAACTTTGGCCTAAACTTTTCCTTATTCATTTCTTTAAATGAAATTCACATGAACTACATAAAGAGTATGAATTTGTGAGAAAAATACTCTCACAATTTCACAATACTAGGTTGATGCTATGAGTTGAGATGGGGCAGAAATGGCCACTAGGAATAGTAGCAACTGTAGTAAAAGTAAATGAAGAATCATTTTAGGTCATGTATTTTGTATCATGTATTTTGCTTTTACACTACTTTCTTTTGAGATAAGAATTTACTTTACGTATTATTATGTTGTGGTTTCTGGTTATGTGCAAATGCTCCTTTTTTTTTAAATGAGTTATAATTTATGATAGGACATTTGGAATGGGTGCCAACAAAAGTTTTTCTTGGATGCATAGGACCAACAGGATCATTCCACCCCCATCAGGTTGCGTTAATTAGTATCTCTGCCATTAATGAGCATCTCTACGCCTTTCCATCTGATGCCAAAGACTGAACAGCAGAAACAGGCAAAAATAAAAGGGGCGGGCAATGAATGTAAAACAAATGGTTTGGAAATGGAGTATTCAGGAGATGCGGAGTTTTATAAACAGCTGTAGACAAGCCCATTCCCCAGGCATGCCCCCACCCTTCAGATGCAGGGCTTGATCCAGCAAGATTGTGAGCAGCTGATAGGTGGAAAGAATAACTTTCTTTCTCTTAAAACCTATGGGGATTGAGGGCCCTCAGCACTTCATAGCCACTGTAGGCTTGGGCATAGTAGAACAGATGAAGAACTCACCAAAAGCTTTCATAAGCTGCATCAAGGGGTGCAGATAGTCACCCTGTGATGCAGCTTATGAAAGCTTTTGGTGAGTTCTTCATCAAGCCAGGAGGGGAGGGGGCACTGCACATGTGATGAGAGTGAGGGCTGCCCCCATGGCGTGTACAACTGGGAAGGGAAGAGGGGAGCTAGGGTCCCCTGCTTGGGCTGTCTGCACAGTGGGGGAGAGCCACAGTCTGCAGCTCATGCCTCATGCACCTCCCCAGCACTGTGGCCCAGGTAGCATGTGGCCCCTGGGTGCCGAGAAGTTGGACATCCCTGCTGTGGGCTATAGGGGCTGTTGCTTTCCCTGTGCATGAGATTTAAAAGAGCAGTGCCATGGCCCTGCTATAATTGTGGGACCAAATGTGCTGACCTCACCTAAGATGAGACCTCTGTACTCCCACAGAGAAGTGAGTCACCACCGCATGCAACCAGAGACAGCAAATTACCACAGGGATGGGGACCTTGCATTACATTGGTTTTATGCCAGTGCGACTCCATTGATTTTAAGTCATACACGGACGGCATAAATCTGAAGTAGGGTCATGGAGAATCAAAACCAGAGCGATGTCAATTTACCCACATACATATGTGCAAAAAGTTCAGCTCTTCACGTTAGCTCCAAAGAAACAACCCCTCCTAAATATCTAACTTTGCGTTGTAATAGTCAATAATAAATATTTTGTTGTTTCAAATATACTCTTGGCTTGTCATCTCAATCTTGTCCTACACCAGGGTTAGTTTTATATTTAGCCAACTGGTTACTTTGTGCCAGATCTGGACAGAAAGAATCAGGGAGGAAAAAAAAGACTTGACAACAACAACAACGTGGACTGGACTTTTTCCTCATTTAAAAGATGTCTTTACAAAATTCTAAATAACTCTAATATGTATCTCAGTGCTCTTTCCAAAGACATCCATTAGGATTGCAATCTACCAAATAGACATGTGCTTCCTTTGAGGGTGTGAGTAACTCCTTGAGGATCTGCTATTAAGTTCAGCACAGCTTAAATGCACGGCTGGCTTGAGGCCTTACCCTTCATACAACAGTTACACTTCCCACAATAGTTTCAGTCATTTTCATACCTGTTTTACAAAACAGAGAAACAGTGCCATAGGAGGAATTATGGTCAGTATTTTTAGAAGAATCCTTTCACTTTGGTTTCTCCCATACTTAAATGCCCCATTAAATGGCAGACACGGCCAGATTTCAGAGATGTTGAACATTACTGACTCCCCCTGCTCTAGTTACTGGACAACAATGCTCCGTTCTCCCAGGAGGCAAGCACAAATCCTGTGTTAAGAGATATAATTGCATGTACTGTCTCCATTAAATGGTCGGCCACATTGCCTTCCTGCATAAGAAGCTGCTTCATTTTGTTATCAAAAGCAGGCAAATAACTGGCTATGGGGGAAGGGAGAGTGTGGGGAAATATTTAAAAATCAAAAGGAATGAAAAGACCTGACCAATTTAAAGGAGTTAAAAAATACCCCGTTGCTGAAACATTTCTGCTAGCAGCGCGCCTGCACAGATGGAAGGGAGCGCCGGCACCAGTGACCCTGCTCATTCTTCTGCACCATTTCCATTTTCCAAGCTCTGCGCTCTTACTGGATCTCTGGACCTTCCATTCTCAGTGGTATTGTAATTTGCCAGTGCACATCTTTAAAAGGAATGTATTAAGCAAGGCTTGAAGGGAAATAATCCAGTTACCTATTGGACATCTGGCTGCAATCCTAGTCCACCCAAGTCAGTCACAGAATAACTATTGCAAATGAGATGAGAGTCCTCCTCCTTCTCACAGCCACTTTTTCTGACTTAGCCTTAAGGGTAAAATGAAGGCTCATTATAGAAGTAGACATACAGACAGATTTTCAGGGACTCAGCTGGGGTAGAATAGGATCACACCCGAAGCACTGCTTAGATACCTAACAGATAGAATCGACTATTTTCCCAGAAAGTCAGGGAAATAAACACCATGGGGCATGTAGTGCACCCATTGCAGTAGTTCTGAACCTTTTTATACTCAATGCACCCCTCAGTAGACTAGAGGCACCCCTCTGAAAATGCTAGCTCTTGGTTTTCACTTGTTTTTTTTTAATACAGGAAAGTACTAGAGCAACTCTTCTGTTGCAAAGAACTTAGAAAAACCACATCAGGTCAGAATGGTTTCAGTACTGTGGATTTCTATTTGAAATCTCTGGGTTCATCATGTGAATTATGCTTGCACTCCTAACAGTGCTAACATTGCGTGGCACCCTTGAAAGGATGTGAATGCACCCCCAAAAGGATGTTAAAGGTACACCCCAGAGTGTTGCAACACCCCCTTGAGAATCACTGCCATGGCAGTGCTGTGTTCTAAAAAAGCCTAAAATTCGAGTTTGACATCACCATATTAGGTCCAAGCTCCAGTGTTGTGAAAGTACAATAGTTAACCATCAGTTCTTCCCTGTTCATTTTAAATGATCCTTTGGGAAAAAAAATTAAGTGCTTTCTGCAAGTGAAATTGAGAATCAGAATCCAAATCAACAGGAGTAACTTCTGACAGACGCAAAGCAGAGGCCAGATCTCATACATGACCTGAGCTTTGGAGAGCTCTAAGTCCACATCTGGATTTTTGTATACATCTCCAAAGCAACATGAAGGTTTGATTGTAGCGCACCTATGTATGCCTATACTAGCTTTCCTCTAGCTAGCAAAGGGACACATGAAGTGGCACAGGCTATAGCACGGCCAACCAGAATACAACCCCTCAGAGGATGCTGGGAATATATTGTGGTTGATAGTCCATGTGGAATTCATTCGCATTGTTACTCATGCTAGCCCAGAGAGGGAAACCCACTGTAGCTACAGTCATGTCTTCATTTTGCTGTGTAGCTATATCCTTTGAACACATCTACATACCTGTTCTCATTTAATCTCTCTCTCTCTTTCCCTCCTTCCCCTCTCCCCATTCCATGCTCTTCATCCATATTTTCCATGTTTTCCTGACTGCAAATGTAGCAGCTTGCACCTAGCACTGAGGAAGACTTTTTCTCATTTTATGCAGCCATTTAGGGAACAGGTACAGCACTGATCCTTGAGCTTACTGTGTACAGGGTCATGACACCACAGGGTTGACAGCAATGCAAGAAAACCAGAAGTGGGGAGGAACGGAGGGAAAACACATGCTGCGGACCAGGAACAGTTTAGAAGTGGCTGCCATTATCTCCATTCTTTCATAGTCTCTTGGAGGTCTAGCGCCTTCCCGATATGACAACTGGAGATTGCCACCAAGAAGACACACTTCTAGACTCTGCTACCGACCAACAAGCCACAATCCTCCTCCCAAACTCTGCTTGGAATAGTAAATCTCCTTAAGGAGTTCATTATAGAATCCTAATTGTAGGACAACTGGCTGCAACATCTGCTGGAGCAGTCTCAGAGGTGCTTTTAAATTACTTTCCTGGAATTGCAATGAGAATTACCCTTCACAGGGGAACAACTGGTGCAGAAGCCAGTTTCAGCAGCTTTACAGCAGCAGGGAGTTCCTCCTCTTCATGGGAATTTGAGACCGTCCCGGTACTGCCAGAATCCACCCCTCCTTTGTCACATGAGCAGTGTAGGAAAGAGGAGACCTCCCAAACCACGCTGTGCCCCAAAACCTCCATATTCCACATTTCACTTTCAAAGCTGAAATGCCATATTCTTAAATGGTATTAATATCTTGCTGTTAAACAATATCATTTGCCCTAAACATCGGAGCCAATCCTACAGGCCTCGCTGAGGCAAATTCCTCACTGCCGTCAGCAGAAGTTTTGCTTAAATAAAGGCAACGAGATCAGACCAATTGTAATTGACTTGATAAAGTAGGTCAATGTTGTATACATCTCAGTGCTGTGGTACTTTGGCTTTTAATGGCTTCAAAAAGGTTTAATGTTTCAAGAAGTAAACTAAAACACTTAGTCAAATTAAGTATTTCCCTTAAGCTGTCAGCATTACTTGCACTGCCAAAGTGAATAGGATAAATTGGATTAGATGCTGTCTATGCCTCAAATCCTAATTGCAAAGGATCCAAAATTTAAAGTGA